GTGCCCTGGCAGCATGCACATCTTGAGCCCCCCGGTACCCCACTGAGGCCAGAGGAAACATGGTACAGATGCCTTTCTAGTGAGCTTTCTAGAGAGCAACGCTGATGATGCTGTGCTGGCCTAAATACTTTTGGTAGCTCTCAGCTGTGCTTGGGGGATACCCAGCTTTTCAGCCCTCACCTCTGCTCCCCTTGCCTTCAACCTTTGCGTTCGGCCACGGCCCTCCCCTGGGTCTCACCACCAGTCCTCATTTTTAATTGCAGTCACCTCAAGGGAGCCTCCCTGATTTTTTTCCCACTAATCAGTGCTCCAGGACCCTGCAGCCTCCCAACTCCTGAAATTAATGGGGTCTTCATTCCAACTCCCGTATCCCTAACTAGCTTGATTTAATCGATTTTCCTGACATTCATGTCAGGAAATCCCCTGTAGGAATTGAGGACAGCTCAGAAATGAGAGAGAGGACATGCAGAAACCCTCCGGGGCGCCAAGCCCTATGAGTTCTACCTTCTAAACATCTCTCAGAACATGTGCTCCATCTCCAGACATCACACTCAACCGAACTCCATCATCTTCCACCTGGACTTCTGCAGGAAACTTCTCATGAGTTTCCTCTCCTCTTGTACTTCCCAGCCAAAATCCAAACTCCAAAAAAAGATGGTAAAAAGCAAAAAAACAGATGTGGTCACAACAATGTCTTGCTTAAAGCTCCTTAGTAACTTTCTGTGCATTAAAGAAAAAGATCAAAATCCTATTCGAGACCAGAAAGACCTACACATACCAGGTTCCTGCTGACTCCGGCAACCTCATCTCCCACAATGCCTCCCTCGCGCCTGTACCTCAGGCTGACTTTCTCTGTGCACAGTCTGGCAGCCTCAGGGCGTAGAGATGCTCTTCCTCCTGCCTTCTGCATCCCCTGCTTCCTTTACCTGGTTAACACCTGCTCGCAGTTTAGATCTGGGTTCAGATGCCCCCTTCCCCAGTGACCCTTCTGTCAGTCTTGTTAGATGTCCTCACAGTTTCTTGTATTTGCTTCCGCAAAAAATACCCTCAGTTTGAAAGTGTGTCTGATCACGTTGCCAGCCTCTCTCTACAATGGAGGTATGAAGGCAGGCACTATGGTTACTTTGTTTACCTAGTGCTGGGTGTAGGGGGTGAGCAAGTGCTCTAAACTAAATTTTTTAAATGAAAAGAGAAATGAGAATCTTGAAAGAAGAGGACCAAGGAGCCCATCGGAGCCTCCGGATTTTCTGGGTTCAGGCAAGGAGTGAGGTGAAAAAAGAGCTTGGGTGGGGCAAGCTGAGAAGGAGGAAGGTGGGATCCTGGTCCCAAAGGAGGCTCGGTGAGGAGGAACCTGCAAGACTTCCCTCCTTTTGGAGGACAAGTAGTCATACTACACTGTAGAGGAGTATGCAACCTGGGTTCTTGTCTGGCTCAATTGCCAGGTGGCTGTGGGAACTGGGGCAACTCCTCTCCTTCTTTGGAATAAAGTCATTCCACCTTTAAAATGAGGGAAGTGAGCTCTTATTCAGTGCAACAAATTATCATTGAACATATTCTCTGTCCAGTTCTCACAAGGCCTCCCCTCTCTGACCACCTTATTTTAATACTGTGATACCTCCCCCCACCTCACTCTGGCACCTCATTGCCTCGTCCTAGTCCACTTTGTCCTTTCCCCCACAGCATTTATTACCTTTTAAACATCTTTTAATTTGCTCATCATGTATTACATGTATCATTCATTGTTCCTTGTTAGAAATACCTTGACCATATGAATCTTTCTATTTTTTTCACTGATGAATCCCTTCCACACCACAGAGGTGTTCAGCAAACATTTGTTAAATGAATAAAGCGCTGTTCTCAGTTTACCATGACTTCTTGAAATGGATAAGGTATCCTTGCTGCAAAGAACTTGGATTTTGGAATCAGGCAACCTAGCTTTAAATTGTGGTCTGACACTAGCTGTGTGATTGTGGGCAAGCCATTTTATTCCCCTGAGGCTTACTTTTCTACATAAAATGGAAGACTTCTGTCTTTCTTACAGGTGACTGTAATAATCAAATGACTCCAAATGTTTAAAGTGCCAAGCACAGTCCTGGGTGCACAGGAGGGTCAGTGAGAGGAGCTGATGGTCCAGGGAAGGGAGTGTTAGTCAAGGTATTTGGTTGCAAACATCAGAAATCATCTGGGACTACTTAAGCAGAAAAGGGATTTTTCTGAGAGGATATCAGGAAGAAGCTCATCATATTGACAGGAAATTTGAAGAAGCAGGCACATTAGCTGGGTGTGGTGGCATGAGCCTTAGTTCTAGCTACTCAGGAGACTGAGGCAGGAGGATCACTTGAGCCCAGGAGTTTAAGGCTGTAGTAAGCTATGATTGTGGCACTGCACTCCAGTCTGGATGAAAGAGTTCAAACTAAAAAAAAAAAAAAAAAAAAAAAAAAGGCACAGAAAATTCTCAGGACTCTCAGAAACTCAAGGATGCCAGGTAGCAGAAATTATCATCCTGTATGCCTTTGTCATTGCTGGAAACGACTGTCACCATTAGAGAAAAACACAGCTGTACCCAGCACAATGCTGGTCACAGATCATGCTAATAGGTGGCCCCATTGCAAGATACTGTGGGGAAGCCAGTCTCACAGGCTCTTTGTTTTGAGTTCCTTGCTCAAGATTAAAAGTCCCTCCTTGGGTATCCAACTGGCAGAACTCAAGTTATGCACCCATGCCCTGGCTGTCAGGCGGGGGAGGAAAGAGTATTTTCACTTGTGGCTTCCATGGTGGGAGGCAGGTTCTCACCTGATGGTAAATTCTCTGAATCTGGAAAGGAGTATGGATGCTGGGAAGCCATTGCATGACCAACAGCCATGGTAGGGAGAGTGGCAGGAGGTGGAAATTCTAAAGGATAAGGCAAGTGTGTAGCTATAACAGGAGTACTGAGTGCTCAGGTATTCCTGAGAGTGTGGGAGCCTGGCAGGGTTTCTGAGACAGTTTAAGCAGAGAAGCTATTTCTAAAGGTGCAGGCTGGGTGGAGGAGAGCCACAAAGGCTAGCACAGGTCCCCAGGTCTCAGAAGCTAGGCACAGTGACCATGCCTAGGTCAGAAGGGACAGGTAGCAGAACCACTATCTGAAAACCAAAGAGAGTAGCCAGGAGATAGTTGTCAGTGACTGTGGCTCTCTTGTGTGGGAGTTGGCAGTGATGCTGCAGAGATGGAGCTGAGAAACAAGTGTCCTGACCACCCTACACCCCGAGTCCCCTCCCTTCAATGTCCTGAAGAACCCATTTTAGCACCTACCTGAAAGCCAGCAGGCATTGACATAATTCCTACAAGGTGGCCTTGAAGGGCATGGAGCAGGGAGAAGGAAGAGGAGCAGAGGGGGCAAGGAATAAAGGGAAGACAGAACACCCCGGCATTTTATTCCGGATAGAGACCTGATGGCTGTTTCATTGGGTGGGGGAGGGGCCCAGACTTTGAGGATGCAGTGGAATTTTAAGAGACCTTCAAGATGGAGGAGACTGCCTGAATCAAGCCACAGAGCCTGAGACTGAAGGATGAGAAATGGTGAGCTTGCACTTGTGACTGAAATATTTGAATGCCATAGCCTTGGGCATTGCTGCTTACCCACTGGGGCATTGATAACCTTCCCAAGTTCGTGACTAAAGGACTCCCATTTCATGTGGCTTCTTTACCAATCAAAATTTTATTCCGGGGAATATTCTAACAGCTTAGGGATGTCTACTGTTCTGGAAAGGAGGTAGGATTTGGGGATAGAGATTCACAAGTTGGCAGCCAATGGAGAGTTAAGACTCACACTTCAGGCCTGGTTGTCTCAGGGAGCTTGTTTGTTTGAGTTTATGCAGCCAAGAGAGGGTTGCCATGGCTGAATTGCATGCAACAGGTCTTGTGATCTGGAACAGCAAGTTGTGTATATAAAATGACAGCATTTATTAAAGCAAGATAAACTCAGCAACAAAGGATAAACTGGAGCCATAAATTCCTCTGATCTTTGTTCCTGAGCTATCACATTCCATTTGAATGAGGCCTATCAACCCAAATGTTTTCATCAAATAAGTCAATTTACTGAAAATCTCTAAGAGAATGAACTGGGAGTTACCTTCCCCCCACGACAGACTCTTGTTTTAAGAAAGAAATGTTCTCTGTGTGATTCTGACTCCCTGTATTTGCTGATTTCTAACAGATCTAGTATGCAGGACAATAAGCTCCCCATCACTAGACGTGTTCAGGTTGAGTCTGGGGACACACTGGGCTCTCTTCATTCTGGGGGGCTTTGGCATATGGGAAAAGGAGATATTCCTAACAGCTATTCTTTCTAGTTCTAAGAGCTCAGGATTGTAGGAGCCCAAGGAAGAATCCAGTTGAACTTCCACACCTCTCATTCTGCAACCTGTACTCACTCTCTCTAGGCAACAATTTCCCTAGGTAAGGAGAGACTGGTATCAGGGGCCTGTGAGTGAGCAGGAACTTCGGAGCCAGAAGGCTTGGGTTTCACACAAATAACACATAGAAATTCATCATAGAAATGCTATAGAATTAGAAGTGTAATTATAGTATAAGTATAATTATCCCCACTTTACAGAAAAGGAAAGTGAGGCACAGAGAGGTTAGAGAGCTTGGGAATGGTGGAGCTAAGATTTGAACTCAGGCAGTCTGCCTCTGGGGATCTTAACCTTCACATGATAACAGTCCTCACCTCATCTATAGCATAGAATTTCTAGGAGGTTGCATTAGAGAATGGGTATAAACCTAAACTGTTAGTCTTGGAAAATTCTGAGCAAGATGCTGAATCTTAAGTTTGTAAGCCTTTTCCATCCGTGCTTAACTTTTTTTACAAAAATGTCTTCCGTCCTCCCAGCCTCTGGTCTCCCTTCTTTCCCTTCCGCTGGTCCATCATTCTTCCTTTCCGTTCCTGTCATTCTTCCCTTTGTTCAAATTATTGACTTTCACAAAATTTCAGACTCAATGGCGAAATGCAAAGTAACAGCCAAACTCAAAAGTACTTGTGCTTTTATTAAAAAAAAAAAAAAAAATACAATCAGGTTCTGTCCAGATGTGTTTGGAAAGGAAGATATCTTTAAAAATTCTAAGTTTTCATAATCTTCATCATTATTATATTAATAACATTAATCATATCCTTAAAATGGAAACAGTATTGCTCTTCTGGTTTCTGTTGTATGAAATGTAAAAAAAAAAAAAAAAAGGAAAAAAAGGGGATGGATTCCGATGACACACATTTAATTTTTACTAACAAAAATAATGATAATTAATTATACAGCTTCGTGTAAAATACGGCTGGTTCTAAGACAAACTACCCCTGTACAGCCTACCCCTCTCCCATCCTCAGAGCCACCAAGAAAAGTAAAAACCATGGTGATGTTGTCACTGGAAAATTTTTGCTGATTCAAACAACAAAATAGAAACCTGTTGGAGACTGATGTCTTTGGTGCGAAGAAAGTAATCGCAGAGGAGGTGAGGCCCATGCAATCTCTGTTGGCCCCAGTGATACATGGTCGACTTTGACTCTTGCCAAATGTCCAGGAGTAGATTGATGGCTGGACTGGTTGTATTGGTGCTTTGGTAAGATCCTTTCCTTCCTCTGGACCCTATTTCTCTCTTATCTAGTGGTCCCTGGAATTTACGCCCGTTTGCGCCTGCCTTCAAGATTTCTGAAGTTGCTGGGTCTCAGTTTCATCTCAGCAAACTGTATTGAATGTTCATGGCCCTTCCAGTGGAACCAGTTAACACCCTGTAAAAAAAAAAAAAAGAGAAGGATTCCAGGTTGGTTTCTGCTAGGCATGGTGTTCACTGATCATCGCTATTTAGTTGTTCAAACTGAACAAGTTCTGTTTCACCTTGACCATCTGGTATACCAGAGCTGTTGCTTGCCTATCTCTGTGTTGGTCTGTGCTGTGGAAAACTTCCAAGAGGGCCGGCTGAAGCTGACCCAGTTTTTCACCTTGGTCAGCAGTCACCTGAGTTTGCATGAAGCTTTGGCCTGCCATCTTGAAACAAAATGGTGGCTGATGAAACCTGTCATCCTTAGGAATAGATTCAAAGGAATTCAGGTCATGATTGGAGGTTACAGAATTGAGGAGCTATATGCAGGGTGTGTGTCTATAATTCATAGGATTCCTATGGAGAATTTTAATAGGGGTTTATATGGAATAGTGGAAAAAAATAGGTAAAGCACAAATTTTGCATTTTAACATACAGGGTTAAATATTACTTACTTGAGGGATAAATGGTCTTAAAAAAGTTATCAAATCTTTTTGGGCCTCAGTTTTACTATGTTTTTCTTTTTTTCCTTAAGGTCTGATAATGCCAACTTTGAAAGATGCTATGAAGATTACATTAGTTTGTAAAGAAGCTATCACAAGGCTGGGTACGTTGCAGGTGCTTGGTAAATATTACTTCCTTAATCTCAAGTTGGGAGAAATAGCCCTGAAATTTTGGTTGAAGCTCTCTAGTAGAAAAGATGATAATTTCATGATGCATGTCTGTTGAGCAGAGCCTACAGATGGTAGAGTCAGCCCATCAAGCCCTATATGGCCCCTTGCCCACTGTGGGAGAGGGGTCAGGACCTGGTACCTTCAGCATCACACAGTGCTCCTGAGTGGTCACTACCCCAGGTACAGACCCCCTATCCCCTTTAAGCTGCACTGAACTGTGAGGGAACATGAACTTGCTGTGTGGCAAGTTAATGGGTAGTGTGGCAAGTTAATGGCTAGTGAAATAAGAGAAAAAACAGAGACACTTTGTTTCTAATTTTTCGGCATTCATTGTAGGGAGGTGGGGTTTGAGAACTGCGGGCTCATTCCATGGGCAAATGCACCTGTAATCACTCAGGTACAGCGAGTGCTGCAGCCCCACAACTTGGTCTACATGCTGCCTTCCTCTGCCCCAGTAGATCAGGGCTGAAAGCCAAACCCCCCTCGTACTGGGGTGGAGACTGAAGCCCGAGAAAGAGACTTCGTAGAGGCCACACAGAGGCTTGAGCACAGCTGGAGCTGGGACTGAGCTCCTGTGGCTTCTTTCAGGTTTTCTGTGTCATCTCTTTCTTCTCCAAAATTGGATAGGAAAATGGACAAAAAGGTTTCTTATCTTTTTCTTTTTTTTTGAGTTGGAGTCTGACTCTGTTGTACTGGCTGGAGTGCAGTGGCATGCTCATAGCCACCACAGCCTCGACCTGCTGGGCTCAGGTAATTTTTCTGCCTCAGCCTTCCAAGAAGCTGGAACTACAGGTAAGCACCACCATGCTTGGTTAATTTTTTGATTTATTGTAGAGACAAGGTCTCGCCAAGTTGCCTGGGCTGGTCTCGAACCCCAGGGCTCAGGCAATCCTCTTGCTATAGCCTCCCTAAGTGCTGTAATTACAGGCATGAGCCACTGCACCTGGCTAGAGGTTTCCTTTTCAATATGTGGCTTTTTAAAAAAAGGACTTTTATGTCACACAAGTGTTAAGGGACAAGGCAATAAAAGTGATAGAATAATGCTCAGAGTGGAAGTATTATTGAGGTAACAATAAGATGGAAAGAACACAGGACTGGGGTCAAGAGGTGGTTCTTGAACTCTTGCCTGCTCTGAAACATAGTCATGAAAAACTACATCCCAACTCCTTCATAGGATAGAGGTGATACGCATATGAGAAAAAGAAGGCGAGAGAGCTTAGAGAAGTATCAGAAAAATCATGTCAAAGTAAGATCTACATTCAAGGTATCATTTGCTGGTAGTTAACTCAGGCATAAACACATGCATTAAAATCACTAATAATAGAGAACCATAGCTCCCAACACCTGCTGAATTTCAGGAATCACCTGTGGAGTCTACCAAAGTGTCCCAAAAAACCAACGACAAAAAAAGTGCAAATACACAAAAAGGTGAGTTGCTGCATTTCACCTGAAATTATCAAATCAGGATCACTTCTGGGGTCATCATAAGGTATAATTTGGGCCTTTGAATACTTATAAGGACTCTGGGATCCCGGTGAGCAGACCTGGTAAGATCCTTGAGGTCCAGGGTTCAGTGTGGTATGAGAACAACCATTTTTCCACTTTGGGATGGGAATGAGCTTCTAAGGCTAGGGCAGGGGCTTGGTCATGATCAAGTAGCTGGTTCCACTTGGCTTTATTACTTTTCAGACTTATGCTGGTGCAGGCAGGGATTAGGTTAGGGAAGATGACTGAAATTGTTCTGTTCACCTGTTTCTAAAGGGGATCTAAAACATCTCTTCCTAGAACTGTATGTGGCACAGGGAGAATGCAGGGAGAGGGAAGTGGGAAGATTCAGCTCTGCCTCCAACTTCACTGGGTGGCCTCGGAAAAGTCAGTTTTCTCTGGGCATCTTAAATCCCTTCACTTTATGAAGGGACTTAAAGTCTGTGGGCTTCATTTCAAGGTCTTCTTGGGGTTCTGAAGGTGCCTCTAACCAGGGTCTGCATCATCCCTGGGTTACACCTAAATGGCCTTCACTTTTGTCTTCTTTACTTTTGGGGTTCAGACAGATTTCATCTGAGAAAGGGTTTCTATGTTTGGGGTCCACTTGACCAGTGGGTCTCCTTGGGATCTTCAAGGGCTACCATGTACATTTTGAGATTTCTCATTGTACTAGGCAAACACCCGCTGGCATATACCTGAGGTTTCTGCCTCCAGTCTCCACCAGGATGGAGGGTTGAATTGTCCTCTCATCCATCCCCTCCCTCCTCCCAGGCCCAGTCTGCTCTGGGCCTTCACGGTCTACTCACCTGACTGTGGCTGTTGTCCCCATATCTCCCCATCAGGTTGACACGATGACAGTTCTTATACCAGAAAGCCCCCTTGTAGGATAGGGCACAGTTGGTGATGGCTGAGTCTGTGTCTTTGTCAAAGGTGGAGAAGGATCTGCCATTGTGGTAGGCCATGGAGTCACCTGGGAGAGAGAGAAAATATGGACCTGAGAAAGCCTGGCTGGAATTTCAAAATTTCTGGGCTGTAAAGGGCAGAACCAGAGGTGACAATTGAAAGATCCTGGGGTGGGATGACCTTGAACATCAGGCCCACAGTCAGAACTGAGCATGGGATTGAATAGGACATGAGTGTCATCCCCTAGGACTCATTTCTGATAAAAAACAACACAATGTGGTGGGGAAAGGACTGTGGGTGTCTTTGCAAGGTCAAGCTTCAAGTCCCATTTCTTTCACTCACTAGCACAAGTCAAGCCTCTGGCTAAACCTCAGTTTTCTCCTTTATAAAACAGAACCAGCACATGTTTCTCTCTACCTTACAGTGCTGTTGTGACAAGAATATAAAAATGTAATCTAAACAGATAGCATGGAATGCAAGGTTACTATGATTGTGATTTTTATGATTTTTCTGCATTCCCTTTACATCAAAGAGCTCAGAGAATGAGGTGTGAAATCTGCATTTAATAACAGTATGGTTTTCCTTCACACTCAAGTATTTATTAACCATATTATAATCTAAATAGCCTTTGTATCATATAGTTATTTTTTAAAGTGTTTATGAGACCACTATTCCCTGATTCTTGGACAAGAAGTCTATTTACATATAATACTATTGGGGAATCTAATTTGTAATTTGACATATTGAATTTTAAAAGCATTCAGTGCCATTTCTCTTTGTGTTTCCTCATTCCCAACTCTAGCTAAGTGCTGTGCACAAAAATTTCAAGACTCCAAGGCATTTAACTGTGATATTTTGGAGCAAGTTGTCCCAGGCACCTTTTTAACTGTGATGTTACCCAGAGCATGAGGATGGCATGCAGACATTGAAATAAAACACTCTCCTGCGGAGGGCCTGGCTGCAACCAATGCACACAAGAGTGTAACCTTACAAAGGTTACCTTAGTGAAGGGAAATATTCTGGCTCATTCTCTCATCGGAAATATGAAGAGAGATGGACAGAGGCCATATTCCCGCTGCTTGATGGGTTTCCTTGTTGTGTAACATTATCTTCCTTGCCTGAAGCCCTCTCAACCAAAGAAGTATTTATTTCCAGGTAATAAAATGTCAAAATTCTTTGAAGGATGCAAGAACTAAAACAATTTAGCCCCTGGGTATCTCTCTTTATTACCACTAAGTTGCCATCTCAAAAGAGCTTTGTGCCTCCTTAGACTAAGCCTGGCTTTTGGCAACCTTTCAAAATCTGGAGATTTCTCCTCTTATGGATTTTTTTTCAGGGCTCAGAGAGGTTGGAAATGTGCCATAGCAACTGTCTTTTCTGTTTTCATAAACATAACAGGAAGCCACCCAAAGTGGGCATGGCTTGCATGGGGTGGTCCACACACTCACGCCTGATCCCTCCTTGCCGCTAAGAACATCGTTGGCAACAGTTCTCTGCAGTCAAACTTGCTTCCACCTGTTACAAGCCATTTCACCTTGGGCAAAATGCTGAGATTTTCTGAGCCTATTTCCTTGTGTATATAGTAACAACTCCCTGTAATGGTTTTTATGAAGATTAAATGTGAGTAATACAGGTGGAATTGCTACAAAAGAGGATGATACCTAGTAGTTCTTAATTAATGTTGTTTCCTTATTTCTCCTCTAATGTATAGCCAGAAAACCATATCAAGCCAAATAAATCTTCAAGTCTGAGCTAGGGTGATAAATCAGAAAAGGAAAGAAAGGGCCACTTGAGGGGCAGTGAGTTTCTAGTCTTGCGGGTATGCAGGCTGAGGCTGCATGACCACATGGTAGGGATGTCTTAAAAGAGAGACAAGCAGTTAGGTGATGGCGTGGATTATAGGTTGCTAAAAGTATAGTCCACGACCAGCACTGCCAGCAACATGGGCTTCACCAGGGAACTCACGGAAAATGTAGAATCTCAGCCCCACCCCAGACATTCTGTGTCAGCCTCTGCACATTCAAAAGATCCCCAGGGGGTCACATGTCCATAATAAATCGAGCAGCACTGGATTGGATAATTAATAAGACCTTTAGGAGATTGGGTTTTTTTGGAGGGTGGGGTCAGCCTATAATTGATATCTAAAACTGGAGAAGACATATGTTTGGAAAGTGAGGGCAGTTACAGATCAATCCTGATTGCCTGGATTCTCAACCTCCTCTACATTTCAGGGACCAGGATATCTACCAACCCTTTTCAATTGCAGTTCTGAATTTGTACCTTGTAGGTATTCAAATATTTGCTGATTCCATAAATGAATGGATTCATGAAGGAAGGAATGATGAATGAATAAATTAGCTGAAAACACCAAGAAGGTTTCTATAGTTTTGTAGGCTCTAAGTGCGACTGCCCTGTACCTGCTGTCCCACTGTATCCCTCCACCTTCAACTTGTAGCGAGTCTTGGCGTCTCCCACGCTGAATCTGTCGTACACAGCAAAGGCTGTCTCCCCATGGTCCCGGAGGTCCACCCGGAGCTCATATTGACCCTGGGCTGTGATTTTGCTCAGGTTGTCTAGCCCTGTGGACGACAGGCAGAAGTAGCTAAGAAGCACAGGTAGCTGGAGTCATCCTTTCTATTTCACCCTGTTTAATAGCAGCAGCTGGGTAAACTCTAAAGAGGTTTGTGTCACACAGACCTGGGCTCAGAACTTGGTCTGCTCCTTGCTGTTACAACATCAGGCCACATATGTGATGTTTCTGACCCTTGGGCACAATCAAGTTGACAGTTTTGCTCTGCCAACCTCCCAGTGTATTGTGAAGTCAACGTAGGCAAGGTGGTGAAAGCACTTTTTAAACTCTAAAGCTCCTTACAGATGAAGGGCAGTGGATGATAATGGGATAAGCATTCCCTGCCCAGGAAATGGCATAAGGAACAAGGTTCTGTGCAGGTAGGTGGTTGGACAGTGTGAATTGCATGGCTAGAGGGATGGATGAAGGCATCCTAGTGGGAGATTTCAAATTGCAGCACAATTGCTTATTGGTTTGATTCCTATGGGCAAACCACTTAACCTCTTGAGACTTTATTTCCTCATGTACAAGGCGGGAATTTTGTGCTTTGCAGGGTGCTATGAGGGTTAAGGTTATGGCTATAAGGGGCCTAAAAGCAATCAGTGATATCAATGAGAATAATTCTATGAACGGTTCAGCATATGACTTAAGGCTAAATTGATTCTTAAAGTCTGATTGTTGGTTCTTCCCTGGTCAGATTTTTATGTTTAATGAATCAGAACATTTAAATAGTCTTTTCCATTAAGAATTTGATATTCGGTGTCTACCACCAAACTAGTGTTTTCTCCTAATCTGCTTCTCTCCCATAGGTCACTGCAGGTTAGAAAAAATTACGGGAGGGCAGAAATGGGCATTCTAGACATACACATGCAGGGTTTATTACCAAGCCAGAATTCTTCTCTGTGGTCCCCAAATCCAGCAGCATAGGCCTTCCAGTTTCGGTAGAAGTCCTCACGTCCATTTTTGCGTCTCAGAAACACCTATAAATGTATCAGAGAATCGGGGTACATTTAAACTATTGGAGGAAAGAGAGGGCATTTTTCTGAGAGGAAGAAACACTGGATTGTGGAAAGGGCATCTGTCCCCAGCTCTGTCCATCCCTAGTTTGCCATGTGACTTTGGGAAGGTCACCTCCCCTCCCTAAACTTTAGTGTTCTCATCTGAAAAATGAGTATAAAAATAAAAAAAAACTACCAGCTTTGGGTCATCATGATGTGTCAATGTAGGTTGATTGGTTGTAACAAATGTACCATTCTGGTGCAAAATGTGCGGTGGGTGGGGGTGTGTATGAGAACTCTTTGTATTTGCCACTCAATGTTGCTGTGAACCTGAAACTATTCTAAAAAATGCTTATTAATTAAAAAAAATACCACCCAGTTTCTGTGGTAATAGAATTGGAATAATTTATATAAGACTCTTAGCACAGTGCCTGCTAGGTAACAATTGTGTAGCCAGTACTAATTAATATAAGTAATGGCATCAATGATTACTGTCATTTATACATCACAGAGTTGTTTGATGAGGCTCAGATGAGATCAATGATAAGAAAATTCTTTCCCCCTGTTTATTTAATCCCTGGGTTCTTCCCATTCCTTTGCTTAAGAAGGCATTCCTTGCAAAGCCTCATGCACATCAGTGTCAGAGTGTGTGGGGAGGAGGGTGTTAGCCCCTCCTCTCCCCCACTGAGCCCCTAGCCTCATCCTCCAGACCTAAGAGCTCTGGAGTCCTTGGTGATACTCACGATCCATCCGCCCCCATCAGAGATCATGTCACAGAAGACTTCCAGAGCCTGGGCCTTATCGCCATTCAGATAAATAGTGTAGAGACCAGAGGTCGTGTCTCCATTTAGCATTGCTTGTGAACAGTCCCTGGGAAAGGGGTACAGAAGTCCAACTGCGGAAAAAGGAGAAACAGTGATGCTCCCAGAGTAGGAGGACTGGGGTGAAAGCTTTCATATTGTGGCTTACCGTATATTGACTAGATTCCTATGGGTGAGCAGCCTAACCCCTCAGACTCTCTGTTTCTTCATGTGAAAGATGAGGGTGGCATCTACTTTGTAGGGGTGCTATGAGACTTAGAGGTCATAAAGAGGAGGGGCCCTTCTCAGTCCCTTATACTGATGGACACTGTCAAGGACATCTGGGAGCTCAGCAGAAATGTTATGAGTGACTTGTGCCAGGTTGACTTGGACCTACCTGGAACAGTGAGGCACAACTGATGAACACCCAGGTTCTGGCTGAATGACTGTGTTTCTAGCACCTGGTAGATGGCTCACTGTGGACCAGGGAATTCTACAGGGTACAGGCTGCTTTGGGAGCCTGATAAAAGCTCTGGATCTTAAAGCTTCCCAGACAAACATATTTTAATCCACACTATAGATGTATGAGGGAGGTCCCTCCAAAAAATTGGAATTTGTTTATAAAAAATTGTATATTTATTCTCACATGTTTAAACTTCAGTCACCTTCAAGTTACTCTCCATGTGATGCAATTTGCCTTTCAAGATACTTTTTCCACTGCTCAGAAGTGTTTAGGAACTTGTCAATTTTGATGCCTTTTTGTGCATCTGCCATTTTTGATGTTGTTGTTTGCTTGTTTCACCTCTTCCACATTGACAAAATGTTTGTATTTGAGGACTTTTTTCATTTATGGAAGCAAAAAGAAGTCACTTGGAATAAGATTGGATGGACAGGGAGGGTGGGGCAGGGTTCCTGCTGCTTTTGGTGAAAAACTGTTGAACACTCAGTGTGGTGTGGGCAGGTGTGCTCATAAATCACTCATCATGAAATCGGCAAATATATTTGAGACTCAAAAAAAAAATTAACTGAAGCCGACTGCAGCCTCTTAAAACAATGCTAGCTGGTACACTGATGCTGATGTGTTGTTAGAATACTTGCCTAGTGAGGGAAGCTTTATGATAAGGGGCCTGCCTTCCAAAAGGTAATTCCATCTTTGGGGGGCGGGGGGGTCTCCCCACATATCCTGGCCTCTTCAGAGTATTTTTTGAGACAGGGGTTGTTATCCTTAACCTGCCACTTGCTTGCTGTGTGACACTGGGAAAGTCATTTAACTGCTCTGAGCCTGGGAATTTTAGGGATAGAACACGAACGCCTGGGAAACTTCCAAGTGCAATAATGTGACACAAAAATTAAAAACTTGATAGAAATGGACAATTTGAGGCTGTGGTTAGGAGATGGGCCTGAGGACTGATGGTCATAGTTTCTTTTTTTCTGATCTAGGGACACCTCTATATTCATCTGAGGTTATATCATGAGCTGTTTTCTTGTTTACTTCATGGCCTTAGTAGAAGAGCATCTTTCAGACACACTCAGTTAGGACCTGGCATAAGATCTGGCAAAGAGGAATCACCTTCCTTGGCAGTCCTGTGCAGAACAACCGTCAAATGAATTGTGAAGGGCAGGGCTCTCCAGTGGCTAGCTCAACCCATTCTCAGGAATGGACACTACCTTTTATTTACCAGCAGAACAACTGGCAAGTTTGCCATCGGCAGGTGCAGGGAGAAGCTCAGAGTTGGGCTCAGAGTTGGAGCAGGCAGGCACAAATGATGAACACTCAGGTTCTGGTCAAATGGCCAAGTTTCTAGCACCTGGTAGGTGGTTTGCAGTAGACTAGGCAACCTGAGCCCAACTCTGAGGCTAACTCACAGAGTAGCTTTCAGCAAGTCACTTAGTCACTGGGAGACTTTGTTTCCCCACCAGGAAATTAGACATGATAGCCCTGGCCCACCCTACCAGTTTGGTGGGAGGACTGTTTGTGATTCTGAATGTGGAGAGGCTTTGTAAATACTGACATGATGAAGGAGAAGGGAAGGGACAATGTGTTTATATTAAGTTTTGACAATGAAAGGTCCACACACTTATATGGGCCACATATGAGCTAGCAGTTCAAATACAATACCTCATTAACCCTCAACAAGGTCCTTATGAGGAAGGGATAGTTATTTATCCCATTGTATAGATGAAGAAATAAGGAATGTGGGATGGAAATAATGTTCTTAAGGCCCTGGACTTAATCCAGATGGGTATCATCCCTCCTTCCCTTTCACCAGGATGCTCACAACCTCCTGCACCCACTTTCTTCAGGCTTCCAAGGAGTAGCAGGGAACCAGTCCTTTTCAGAGGTTTGTTTGATAATTCTATAGTAGAAGTCAAAGGGGAAGTGGAGGGTTGATGCAGTCGAGGTTAGATCTCAAGGCAAGGTTGTACCCTGGGCCCTCTTACTTGTTGTGAAGATGGTCTGAATCAGTCTGCTCCTCAGGGGCCCATTTAATGCCTGGATCTTGGCTGTGTAGTGGGTGGATGGATTCAGGTCTGCCAGGCTGTAGGAGGTGGTGTCTGGATCCACAATGACTTCCTAAAATGCAGAAGAATAGAACAGCTTTCGGTCACAGAAATTAGGACAAAATAGTTTTTGGTCATCTCGGGGTATAGCTGAGAATCCATTCTATTCATTCACCCATCCATTCATGTCCTATCCGTTCATTCAACAAGAATCCACCGAGTACCCCTTCTATGCCAGGCTCCATATGTACTGTTAGAATGTGAGAGGTGGATAGAATACTGTAGAAAAAAGGTCTTGGGGCCAGAAAGGGAGGAACAGGTTAAATAATATGAGAAGGCAATATCTTACCTCAACCATACTTAAATTCAGGTGACAGACCAGTGGAAAATGTTACCAGCTTACAGAAGGTCTTAAATGCCAAGTTTTGGAATTTTCAGTTTATCATGATAAGGAATGAGGAGCCCTGAATGGTTTAAATGCCAAACTCTGGAGCTTGAAACTTGTTATTATAAGGAACAGGGAACTCTGAAAGGTTTTTGAACAAGTGAATGACATGAACCCAGCAGTACTTTAAGAAGCTTAATCTGGTGGCATGACATATCACACAAGGGGCAAGAAGCATTAAGGCCTGTTAGGTCAATGGTCTCTAAATATAACTCTTTATCACAGCCCTCTGAGAAACTTTAAAACAGTATGATGCCTGGGCCCGATCCCAGACTGACTGAATCATCAGAGCCAGAAGTTGGGACTGGCTAGTTGTATATTTAAGAAACACCCCAGATGATTCTCACGTGCAGTCAATTTGGGGATCTCTTGAGTCAGGAGATGATTACAATACCTCAGTAAACACAGCATGATGCAGGCTTAAGCTGACTCAGTGTGTCTGTCTTCTACGACAGAGTTGTCAATGAGAGACAGATGTTGACCTACTCTAACTGTGCTCATAGTTTGTGGCTGATCTCTATACTGCCAGACAGAGGAGGGGATGGATTTCAGTTTGTAGGAGGTCCTCTTTTTTTCCCAAATCCTCTTGTTAGCTTTCAGTTCTTCTTAGCAGATGACCTTAGGTGTCTGGAATTGGAATTACATCTATACTCCTGGTAAACAAAATGCAACACTGCTCTCTGTAAATTTCAAGCATGGTCAACTGGGTTTAGGCAGTCCTGAGACAGTGCAGAGGCCCTTGGAAGGGCAGGAGGCCCTTGGAGCAGGCAGGCACGAATGATGAACATCCAGGTTCTGGTCAAATGGCTGGGTTTCTAGCACCTGGCAGGTGGTTCAACCTGATCCCAACTCTGAGGCTAACTCACAGGGTAGCTTTCAGCAAGCTTCCATATTCTGGGAACTGGGAAGGTACCTTATCCTGATTTTCTCAATGGGGTAATTGAGTTTCAGAGAAGCCAAGAGGCTTGCTCTCATTCCATTTGTTGGTGACAGTGGATGATCTTGCAACCTGGTTTCTGGACACCTTGTCCAGGACTCTTTTATCCTATATTAGGTTGATTTTTTTTTTTTGAGTGAGACATATAAAGCTGGGAATTGGACATGCAGGAAAGGGAAATGGGGTGAGTGCCCATCTAACACCTAGTGGCCTTTGTGTGGCCCCCAGTTCTGGTCCCTAGGGGATAGGATCAGTTGTCAGGTATAAAGCTGGAATCATTTAATTACTTGGGGACACAGTTACCCATCAGCTCTCTAGCTGCTGTGCAAAGTCATTTTCTAGGCAATTAGGGTACCCTAGATCAAAATGAGACTCATGATTCAGATAAACATAGAACCCTAGAATGCCTGACCAGGAAAGGACCTCAAAGATGAGTGAATTCAATGCACTAATTTTGCAGATGGCAAACACTGATACCCAGCAAAGATAAAGGACTTGCCTCAGTTCACACAGAAAGTTAGTTCATTATGATACCAATTCCAGGAAGGGCCATGATAGTAACTAGCAATGTGTATCCACTTCTGGTTAAACATGACCTATTGGACATGCCTGTCAATCCCTACTTGCTTCTGATACCCTCTAAAATGAGAATAAAGGGAGAGAAGGTATCCATCCAAAAGATGAAGGGAATGGGAGAGAAGGAAGCATCAGGCTTGCAATGTTAATGGAATCTTGGTAGATAAAATGTGGGTGGTAGAGAAACCACAAAGGGGACACAATGCGAGAGCTGGGGGCTAACTGACAATATTGGGCAGAGCCAGTCAGAGGCTGATTGACGACCCCCACAGAGTCCAGCAAGTTCAGGAAAAGAATGTGTACAAAAGCAAAGATGCCTTTGAAGACCAGTGTGGAGTGTGGCTGAACAAAGATGTGGTTTGTTTGAAAGCATTTCCAAAGAAACAGATCCCAGCTCTCCCCATTCTTTCCAGCTGTCCAGATGACTGCCCTTCCCCATCCAGATGGCAGGCTGAGGTTTACTTTCTGGAGAGGTTGAGCCAGAGAGGAGGATCTGTGTTCAAACCTACCAGGCTCAGCTGTCAGGGAGGCTGAAGTGCTGCACATTAGATGAAGCAAAGGTGTTTACACGGTGAGAGTCCAGGCTTTATAGTACTGATATTTGGAGTCCTTCAAAAACATTGCTGGATAATTGCCCAATCCCTCTGTAGGGAGCCTCACAATTGACAAGCCTGGAACTCCCAATTAATTCTTTCATTCTTGGCTCAAGTACAAAATATAGACCAGGACCAACAAACACTGTATGAAAGTTTCTCATGTGAAAGAGGGAGACCCAAACCCAATCCAACAATAGCAGCAAGACAAAGAAACTTGGAAGAAACACATGTAGGTTATAGAATAAAATACCAATAATATATTCATAGAGCTAAAGAAATGATGATATGCAAACACAAATAGCATGCTAGAAAAAGATGAATGTGCAGAGAATAAGTAAACGATCTTGGAAATATAAAGCACGGTAAACAAAATAAAAAGTCAAGAACAAGTTTGGAAGGTAAATTTTAGAAAATTTCTTTCACTTTTCTGAAGGTCTAAACTTATTTCAAATTAAAAAGTAAAAGGAAAGAAGTTCACCAAGAGAATACAACAGTATTAACAATGGATGTAAACAGTATTAACAATTGATGTCATAAGGACATGGTGAAATATATTACACTACATAATGTAATAAAAGCATCTGTGAGATAATATATGAAGGGGACTAAAAAAAGTGGAATTTATTTATTTTAAAATGTGTGTTTATCTTTACATGTTTAAACTTCAGTTGCCCTCAAAGTACTCTCCATTTGATGTAATATTCCTATTGTATTTTTCTCCTGCTCGAAATAGTTTTTGAAGTTGTCAATTTTTTTTTTTTTTTTTTTTGAGTTGGAGTCTCACTCTGTCACCCAGACTGGAGTGCAGTGGCCGCTCCCGGCCACCACAGCCTCGACCTGCTGGGCTCTGGACATCCTTCCGCCTCAGCCTTCCAAATAGCCGGAATTACAGGCATGCACTACCACGCCCGGTTGATTTTTTGATTTTATTGTAGAGATGAGGTCTCACTTGCCCAGGCGGGTCTCGAACCCATGGGCTCAGGCAATCCACTCACCTCAGCCTCCCAAAGGCGCGGGATTACAGGCTGAGCCACCGAGCCCGGCTTGCACTTGTCAATATGATGCCTTTTTTGTTTGTTTGTTTTGTCTCTTCCACATAGGCAAAACATTTCCCTTTGAAGTTTTTTTTCATTCAGGGAAACAAAAAGAAATTACTTGGGGTGAGATCAGGTGAATAGAGAGGGTGGGGCATGGGGGTCATGCTGTCTTTGGCCAAAAACTGCTGAACACTCAGTGTGGTGTGGATAGGTGCACTTGAAATTCACTCATGATGAAATGGGCAAATGCATTGAAAAAATCTCCAAAAAAAAAAATTTTCACTGAAGTTGAATGTAGCCTGTCACAACAATGCTAGCTGGTAAACTGATGCCCATAGATTCCTAGAACACTTATCTAGCAGGAGGAAACCTGTATTAAAATATTCTCACCCTCTAAAAAAAAACAATTCTAGTTTTTTTGGGTCCCCACATACATGGCAAAGATGCTGAAGAACTGTTTGGTCTTTACTCAATAAAATATTAAAGGACCAAGAGCTCAGCTCCTAAAGTGTCCTCAAGCCTTGTAAGCAGTGGTTCTTGATCTTGGCTGGCTATCAGAACTGGTGTCTGGTTAAAATGAAAGAGGCTGGAGAGTATGATTCAGAAGTTCTGGCATGGAGTCCAATCTCTATTAATTTTTTTTAGCTCCCCAGTTGCATTGGAGCAGAAAAACAGTATCAGGTAATTTTCCCTACTTTGAAGGCCATGCAAATATTTCAGTCAGCAGCAGGAAGCTGTCATATATTTCAAGATACCTTGACTGTACCATCCACGGATTCATAGACTAGGAGGTAACCAGTGACTGATGCCCGGGGAGGTCTCCAGGTGAGAAGGGCAGTTTCGGACTGAACCTCCGTAGCAGTCAAGTCTCTTGGAGAATCGAGGTCTGCAGAAGACAAGGCAATTAATATCAGATAAGTCAACAAGTGTAGGACAGAAATCCTGGCTGGGCACCTAGAGCACTGGGTTCAAGTTCTTTCCCTACCAGTGACCTACCTCACCTTGGGCAAGAAACTTTCCCATCGGTAAATGAGGCGGTTGAATCATGGGATCTCCAAAGACACATCCTCTGTGGTTCATCTCACCCTGAGGACTAGGTTTTCCTATTTGGCCTTGGTTGGATTTAGGGAGAAAGGTACAGCTATGGACATTATTACTGGCATCCCTTGATTCTAAACGAGAGGACGAATGAATGAAAACAACTGAGAGTTTCTCCATTTTCTTGCTTGATGAAGTTTGTAAAAAAGATCTCAATGTATAGAAACATAACAAACATCTAGGAAAAACTGCCGGAAAAAATTTTTCTCTTCAAAAATATTTTCCTGCCTGGATCATTAAGTGCTGGGTTTAGGGCCAGTGGGGACTGTTTTTCCACTTAAAAAGCCCTCCGCTTAAAATCTTTCTCACATCCATGGGGAGAACAAGGTCATTTCAGTTCAAAAGGAAATGGTGTGTTTCTTCAGGTCTTGATCGAGTGGGCGCTGGTGAATTTAACTGATGCTGATGTCATTGCATTTCAAGGGCCTGACTTAAGAAAAAAGAGTTGGCAAGGGGCTACCCTTTAAGACTCAGGCTATGGGTAGGCACCTCAGAGAGGAGAGCTTCCAGCACTCGGTATGTCCATACCTGTTGTGAATTTGGTAGTGATGGTTGAGCTCTTCTGGGGCCCTTTCTCTGCAAAGATTCTCAGTGTGTATTCTGTGGCAGGCTCAAGGTCGGTCAGAGCGTATTCCACCGTGTTCCCAGATACTGTGCGTGTAATTTCTGGCACTAAATATGAAATACACATAACGAGGCAGTTACCTTTCAAAGTCTGAGCCATTAGTGGACTTGGCAAACAGCACACATACCTCCTTCTAACAAGGAAACTTTCAGTGACCCTGTGGTAAAGCAGGTTTGATTTCTGAAACTACTTACATCCCCTTTCTCTCTCTTGAATACTCACCTCATATGCAAAGGATTTATCTATGGAGACTGAGTTTTTTCAGCTACCAAATCAGAGGAAGGGGAATTAGGGGTCAGGAGACTTTCTGCATGGTACCAGCTGGAACAGCTTTGCAGTTGAGACATAAGCATGAGCTGGAAGAGAATTGCAGGTGATATCCCTGGGCCTCATGTGCCCAAATTTAATTTGTCCTCTTGCTTGCTCCTTCTGTTTTTTTCATGGATTCACATGTCCTTTTATATTTTACTAAATATTGTCAAATCATTAGGATGAGGGATCACAAAACTCAGACAGCTGAAGATATACCAGAGCTTAGTTAGTGCGTCCTAGGCTCGCTGAGCCATATCTGGTGGCAGGAACAAAACCACAGTATTTCCTCATCATAGGTGACCAATCATCTTGGTTTGCCTGGAACTGAGGGGTTGCTTAGGTGTGGAACTCTTAGTGCTCAAACTGAGAACATCCCAGGTTGGAACAAGTTGGTCACCTTACCTCATAATCTGTGAGCTCCCCTCCCAACTTCTGGACCAAGACTTTTGTTATCCCTGAACCCACAATTTCCATGAACTATACCTTATTTATTTTAGGTGAGGCAACATCATCTTTCTTGACTCAGAAGAGTTTACTCAAAGGGAATATTTAAGAAACAAAAAGTAAAAAGAATAAACCAAAACATCCCTTCTCCCTAGCCCCTTCTACCACCTTTGTTGTGTCCTCACAAAGAATTTTCTTAGGAGGTAAACAGGGCTAAATTAAAATTTTCTGAGGCCCCAGGCACAGATTAGCATGACTGCTCATATTGTTGTGGAAAGCAAAACAATACTGAACCATAAAATATGAAACTTACATATACTTGGAAATTAAAATAGGAAAATTCTTTCTGGGGTAGCTCATTATGAAATTATGGACAGGTTCATTGAAAGGGACTTTCTCTTTTTCCTCTCTCTTATTTGTTTTCGATTTTGCTTTATAGTGGCTATGGTTTTCTGCTGCCCGAAGCAAGTGTTTAATCCACTAATTGGGTAAATTAGCACAAGTGGTTGCAAAAACAAGAAAAAATAATTTCGGATTTTTTAATCAAATTGCTACAACTGGACTCTCCTATGGCCTCTGAGAAACCAAGACTCCCCCATACTACTTAAAGCAGTATGTTTCAGACTTTTGGATTCTGGGCTTCTATTTTGTAAGGGATGAGAGCTCCTTCCTAGAGAGGGTGTCTCACACTGGAAGGTAGAGAGACTAGAAGGAGAGGAGGAATGGACCAGGAAAACATGTAGAGGCTGAAGATGTACCTACTTTTTTCTTTAATGACCTACCAGACTCCCTTGAGGTTACAACTGGGAGGCACAGGGACACTACTGGTCTTTCCAACCTACCCATGCATTTTTGTCATCCTGGCAGGAAGAAGGGAGAATGGGAAGAGTTTACAGCAGGATAGGCACTCCTTAGCACAGGGAGAGTCTTGGACAGAACCTTACCTCTCTCCCCTGTGTAGGAGATGATGTAACTATCCACAGTGGCAATGGCTGGCTGCCACCTGGCTAAGGCTTCTGAGTCAGTGATGTTGGCTGTCACCAGGCCAGATGGGCCATCCAGAGCTGCAAAGAAAAGTGGTGAGAGAGGAGTAAGTTAGGGGGTAGGACATCAGACCCCGGATGCTCTGATGTCTATATTATTTGTGGATTCCTGGTATCATGACATAGTGTCAGTTGTATGGGATGGTTCAGGGTCCTGAGCATGGAACCAGGCTGACCTGACTTTGAAGCACGCCCCCTTCCCTTCCTGGCTGGGCTACTTTGGGTCTGTGTTTTTTCACCTGTGAAATTGGGACAATAATTCTGGATGGCTTTATCCTCAGCCTTATTTTGAATTTCTCATGATATTATGCGTAGAAAGGAGCTGTGTAAACTGAACAGAGCTGAACACACAACAAAGATTATCACTATAGCTCATATATCTTTCCCCAGGGAAAGAATCTACACAAACAGAGGAGATGCGCATAGTTAAGACTGCCCAAGGCTTTGCTGGGCTTTGAGTGAAATCTCTGGTTAGGTGGCTCGTATAGAATATAGAGCCAGGCTCTGGAGGCTGGTGGTCCAGGATTCTACTGTGGCTTCTCTGCCTGGTGCCTTTGTGCCCTGGGAAGAGTCATTTCCTATTGAACCCACTTTCTTCAGATGTCAAAGAATGGTTGCTATAAAGATTAATTTAGTCAAGTGTGTATTCTGTGCTACAGGAAGTGCTCAATGATTGCAGTTGCTATTGATATGTCTATTAAAGTGATTGGAGTCTTAGGCATGATTTTCAAATGACTTGTCCTGAGAAAGGATGGATATCCAAAGGGGATATATCCCTGGTCTCTTTTAACGAACTGCTTTTGCTATGTATATGTAAACCATAGTACGAAGTGATGATACACATTTACCTTTACTTATTCCACAGACATCCCTTTTTCATGAGCCGACCTAAATACAGGCTTGTTTCCCTCGTGTCTCTGCACGTACTACTTAATTACTCCCATGACAGCACTGGGAGGATGGAGGGCAGCTATCCTCAGCTCATTTCATGAGATGAGGCACCTGAACCTCAGAAATAACTGGCGTGACTGTTAGGATGAGGCAGAGTAATTTTGGGAGTCCATATTGTCCACTCTGAGTTCCTTCCTGTTCCATTGTGCCTGTATAGAATCTCCTTTAACTGGTGATGACAACGGAGACTTGGGAGGCACCACATCCAGATTTTGCAATCTGCTGCCATGGAGAATCCATTGATGAAAGATTTCTTTGGGGGAAATAAGGGCCTGTAAGGCAGGGTGGACAGGACTCTAGGTTCAGTTGGGATGTTTTGATTACATGTTGTCAACTTTTTTAGGCTATGAGGATATTTTTAAAATTTCCTATGAAACCCATTCTTTGTATCCCTTAATGAATTGGACTTAATAATTGCTCATATATCAAAGGATAAATTGTTTAGAGGCGTAGCTGTCTGTAGAGAAATTTTCCACTTCATTCTCCTCCAATGCAATTCATTATTTCTTCCTCTTTACAGGGTACTGTACAAATCAGGTTATAATAGAAAAATAAGCCTTTATTTTAGAAGAATACAGGGTTTGGAGTCAGACCCTGTATGTTCAAATTTCGTTCTGGCATTTACTTGGCCAAGGTATTTAATTTTCCCAGGTCTCAGTTGCCTCCTCTGTAAAATGGGGATGATGATAACTGTAGGGATTAAATGGGAAAGGTTTAGTAACAGTGGCTGGAATGCAGTAGCTGCTAAACAGAGAGTAACTACTTTGTAGCCGTCACCATTATATGTCTGTGTGAAGGCACCTGCTTTGAGGGAGCCTCATAAAGTTTCCAAGCAATAGGCGGAGAAAGGAAGGAGTTAGTATACTATACAAGCTGTACCCTCCTCTTCCGTCGTCACCGCCATCTTGCCCTCCTCCCACCTCATTCCCTACTCTCACCCCGCTGCCATCTTACAATCCTACACCGCCCTCTAAATGGACCAGCCCTCTGGTACCAGGTCCCAGGTCTAGTTACTGGCCCCTCTCCGGGTGGTGGCAGGTGCTGAGGGACTGGTTCGGGTACATGTTCCCTTCTCCCTGGGGGACCTGTCTCAGACTGAAAAGCACCTAGACTCCTACTCTGCCAACCCGACTGCCTACACCAAGGAGTTTCGATACCTCACTCAGGCATACGAGCTCACATGGTATAACCTCCATGTGATTTTAACCTCCACCCTCACTCCCGAGGAGCACGATCGCATCACCTCAGCAACTCGGGACTACGCTGATTAGGTACATAACTCTGATCATTCTTTGCCGGTCGGGGCCTCGGCGGTGCCTGCCGAGGACTCACAATGGAACTATCAGGATGGTGCCACAGATAGAACTAGAAGGGATCAGATGGTCCGCTGCCTTATTGCGGGGATGGAAAAGGCAGCTCAAAAAGTCATTAACTATGACAAACTGAGGGAAATCACACAGGAGCCTAATGAAAACCCAGCCTCTTTCCTTAATCGTTTAACAGAGGCTCTTACCCTTGACACTCATTTAGACCCTTCCTCACCGCCGGGGTCCACAGTCTTAGCTACCCACTTTATCACCTAGTCCGCCCCGGACATCTGGTGCAAGCTTAAAAAGGCAGAGAAGGCCCCCCAGACTCCACTCCGAGACCTGATGAATATGGCCTTTGAAGTTTATAATGCCCGAGAGGAGGAAGCCGAGGTCGTACGGGCCCAAAGGCTAAAACAGAAGGTGGCCCTTCAGACCCAAGCCCTAGTTGCTGCCCTGTGGTCCGCACAGCAGGGGTCTCAGAGGCCCCATCTCAGAAACAGTCCAAAACCTGAACACCTCCTGGAGCCTGCTTCAGGTGTGGCCAGGAAGGCCACTGGGCAAAGCAATGCCCCAACCCCAGGCCACCAACTCAACCTTGCCCGATCTGCAAACAAAAGAGACATTGGAAGTTTGAGTGCCCCCTGGGGGAAAACCATCCCCCACGACAGAGTTTCGCGGGGGGCCGGCTCCCCAATGGGCCCCTCGCCAGAGCTCCTGGGCCTCCTGGACGACTGAAGCCACCTGGACTTGAACACCCCAATCACCCTTGCCAAGCCAAGGGCCACACTATGGGTAGTGGGTAAGTCCATCTCCCCTTTGGTGGACACGGGGGCTACCTATTCTGTTTTACTCTCCTTCCACGGGCCTCTACATCCTTCTCAGGTCTCAGTTGTGGGCGTCTCGGGGGTACCCTCCAAGCCGCTGGAAACAGGTCTGGTGTCCTTCCTTTTTGAAGGCCATTCCTTCACCCATTCATTCTTAATTATCCCATCCTGCCCAGCCCCTTTGCTGGGACGAGACCTTCTGTATAAACTCGGGGCATCTATTTGCCTCACCTCACACCGAGTTCCCTCAAATCCGCTCCTGGCCCTCGCTTGTGCTGTCTTCTCCCCGGAGCCTTTGTCCGATTTCCCCATTTCCCCCAAAAAAGTTAATCGAGTAGTCTGGGACACTTCCACTCCTGTGGTGGCCAATCACCACACCTCAGTCCTCATTTGCCTTAAGAATCCCTCTTGCTTCCCTTCCAGGCCTCAATTTCCTATCTCACATGCCCATCGCAAGGGCCTCCAGCCCATTGTTAACCGGCTGCTCACCCAGGGTCTTCTGGTTCCTACCAACTCCCCTTGTAATATTCCCATTCTCCCGGTAAAGAAGCTGTCTGGTGCTTATTGACTAGTGCAGGATCTGCGTATAATCAACTCTACCATAGTACCACTGCATCCAGTGGTCCCTAATACATATACTCTCCTATCTCAAATACCCC